AGGCTCATGAGCATAAACATACTCCATGACAGCCAGGCTAGGGCACCCACCTGAGTGCATGGATGCAATAGATCACCCGGGGCATGTTCTTCTTGTCATAGATGTCAGTGGTCTCTGGGTGGAAGATCTGCCAGCAAGACAAGAGACACTCAGGGGACAATGGCATCGAGACAGTCCCCAGGGTTGGCTGGTGTCAAAGAGTGGGGGGCAAAGACAAAGCCCCCCGGCCATACCAGCACCCCTCCAGTACTGCTACAAGGCAAAGGCCAGTGTGTCCCTTGGGTGGGGAAAGCAGAGGGGAGACATTACCGAGGGAAGCCCCACGTGGCTCATGGCATCACGCCAGTGGTTGATGTTATCCGTGTGCCGAAAGTGAAGCCCGGCTGCCTGGAAAAGAGGAGCTGAGGTCAGGCTGAACCCCACTTCCTCCCATCCCTCGGGTCCCTCTTGTCCCCAGACCAACCCAGGAGGTTAAAGACAGAGGCAATGCCTGTGACCCCCAGGGGCAGCACAGCTCAAGGACCCCATTGCAGCCACCTGCTACAGAACAGTCCCTCAGTGACTGCTGTCAGCGAGTGCCTCCTCACTCTGCACTCAGCAGCAAAGGAAAGTTTGGGGGTACACCCTAAGGGGTACTACACCTTCCCTCTGGTGCCAAAGCCATACCTTGTACCGTGTCTGTTCAGGGTCGTAGATCTTCTTCATGGGGACAACAGCAGGGGCAAAGCAGTGGCCCAGCTTGGCCAGGAGGACCCCATTGCGCAGGGTCTCCTCCAGCTCTGTGGATGGGGGCAGCCCCTCACCCAGACAGGCCTCCATCCAGCTGGCAGGGCAGACAGGGCATGTCATGGACCACCAGCACCTCACACAGCAGAAAAGCACCCAAAGGACATCTCCCCAACCCCGTTTCAATAAATCCTCCCTGGTAGGGGAGCTCAGTCCCCAAGCTTTTGCTGCTGGGTGGTTTCCAGTTTGGGTGTAGGGCTGAGTGTCCCTCCACAAAAAACACAACCCCCCCAAACAACTTTGAAGAACCACAAACCCCCAGGATCCAGACAGCATTCTAGCCACTTCCCATCCTTTCCCTCCCTATAACACACCCCTTTTCCCCCCCAAATCTGAGCTTGAGGATCTCCCCATGTGCAGTCCCACCGCTTGGCTTCCTCCAGGTGACACAGGTACTGGTAGGCAATGTTCTGCCTCCTCTGCTCGTCCATCTCATCTGCAGTCGGGCGCTCATCTGAACAGAAAAGGGGCCTCCCATCAGAGACCCCTGTTCAGGGAGGCTTTTTGAAGCCCCCATGGCCACTGAAACTAAGATTTGGGAAAGGAGGCCAGGCTTTGGGTGCAGTAGCCTCCCACAGCCCTCGTGGGAGTGGCACTCGCGTCACAGTGGCACCAGGCAGGCCGTTCTGGCAGTGGGAGGAAAGTTTCCAATTTCCCTTTTTCCCAAATAACGGCCATGAGAGCTGGCACTGGAGTGGGGGAGGGCACAGAGCGAGCACCCGGGAGGAGGCGAGGAAGGAACAAAGCTGCAGGTTTGGGATCCTTTGACACTGCTCGTGCTGGAGACACCGATGACTGCTGGGGGGCACCCGGCTGCCCCCCAACAAGCCCTTCCTCAAAACGCGTCCCCTCCAATTTGTCCCCGGGAGCCTGGCACCTTGCCACCGCCGTCCCTCTAGGCACACGCAGACCTGCCTG